TCTCGCCGGCGCAACTGAAGGAAAGTACTCGTAGAACCTGATCTACAAAAGGCAAAAAGTATCAGCAAGTGCTAACCAAAGCTTAGAGCTAAAATTCATGGGAGATAAAGTATACCTCTACTACTCTCCTGAAGCGACAGTCCCCGTAAAGGACCGGTGTCGACACGAGTCTCGTAACGCTCGAACAAAGTCAGCATAGGCCAAGCAGGCCCAGCCGTAAGTCCCGATCAAGTAAAGATCACAGACCGCATGTAGGTAGTAAAGCAGCACTCTACCACCCTTGTTAGGGGAAAACGTCCCTGACAGCAAGATAAGCATAAAGATGCGCACCCGCTGCTCTCGGGTGGTCGCATCATCCTCGAAAGCTGCCGCCAGAGTCGATCGGCGAATGCCTTTGGCGCTAAGCTGGGTCGAATCTACCTTAGCACGAGCCCTAACAGCAATCGGACCTAACATCTTATCAACCTCAGGAGAGAAGACACTGATCTCGTTTTCGAATGGTAGCGCAGTAGAACTAAACTCCAGTCCCGTAAAGAGATTGAAGTCAGTCGGGGTGACCATCATCTCACCCCAAGGGAAGTGGAAAGTGTTGGTGGTGTCCCAAAATAAATCCACCAGGGCACGAGCCACGTGGTGACCCCCGCTAGAGGTAATCATGGCCTCCTAGGTCTCAAACAGTGCAGTCAACCCGCAAGACTCCCAGAGAAGTCTCACCTCTCCATCGACACTGATATGCAACTTGTATAGGTCACCCAGGGTATCGTAGCCTGAGCCGTGGTAGCGCGTCCTACCAACCGTGATCCCATGTCGCACCTTCTCAGAAATATGGTTGACAGGGGAGAAGTACAGAGTCCGCTCATCCCACTCAGGGAGGGGACCAAGATAAGTAGATGGGTCGGCATCCTCCTCTACGGGCTCATGGTCCCGTCGTGTGTCTCGGGACCGTGAACTCAAACCTCGCTGTCTAGCCATGCTACATTGTGAAAAATCAACGTAAATTAAGGTTCTATATTATCTAAGGTTCGCCTAGCCGCATGATACTATGTTCGCAAAAAATAAAGTACGTAGTACTAAAACAGAGCACAATTTCAAATTGAGCATACACAACATTTTTCAAGCATCTAAACAATTTCTTGCAATACTATGGTAATTATAGTAACAAATTGGACAAGAATTGCTAGCAAGAACATCAAGAACAAGCCACATTGTGTTCCCGACCTCAAGAGGTCCGACAATGGTGATTTGTTCGTTTCTTTATCAAATTGAGTCAAACAAGTCTCAAATTACTCCCAAGGCAATCTATAAACATAATCAAGCAATTTCATGGCATAAAATTTGACAAACAAAGTGAATTAAGAATTATAAATTTCGAATTTTCAAGAAATTCATGAACAAACATGTGCAAAATTCATCAAAACCGAAGTAAGTTTGGAGAAAACTTACATAGATTGAGAAAGTAGATGGAAGAAGCTTTAATTTGCAACAAATTTGAGCAAATTCGGTTGAGAAACGAGCAAGAACGAGTGAATTGTACTTCACGGCGATTTCTCGAGCAAAGGCAAGCAGCAGCAGCGGAAATGACGAAGAAAGGGATATATACGAAAATCCCAACTCTAGCGCCAAGAGACAGGCTATGGCTCCAGACGATAAGGTTTAGCGCCTAGGCGCCTGACGCTAGAGCCAAATATGTGGCGCCAACAGAATCTCAGTGGCGACAGAATGTTTAGCCACTTAGTGTGGTTACTCCGACCACTTACAGCAATTTTGGGTTCCTTGGTACGCGAGTTAGCCCCTCTAAGCAGTTTGACATGATTTAGTAATCGGCTTAATTACAATTGCATAAAGTGATCGACCTAATGAATGATTGTCTCACTTAGCTTAAAGCGCCTAAGCATAGGCTCATCGCAAAGCACCGACATAATGGTTCATATAGCAAAGCACCGACATAATGATTCATACAGCAGAGGCACAAGAATAATGGTTTATGATTCAGAAGGCACCGACGTACAGTTCAAAGGCAATAAAAGCGCCGACGTACTGGCATAGCAAAAGCAATGTTCAAGCGAGCATTAAAGATCGACGAGCGTGGGTCTTCGGTAATTTTCCTCGGAATATTATCATAACAAATGAGAATAGCTTCAGGAGAGGATATCTTCAACAGTGTTCCCTAGCTTGCGGAGAGTTATCACAAACAGCTGGAGGTGATTTCAAGCGAAGTTATCTTCGATCGTGTTCCCTGGCTTGCGGAAGATGGTCACAAAGCGCTAGAAGGTGGTTTCAAGCGAAGCAATCTTCGATAGGGTTCTCTAACTTGAAGAAGTCTATCATGGCAAAATTGGAGGCAGTTACAGGTGTAACAGTCTTCAGGCAGTATTCTCTAGCTTGCAGAAGATCGTCAAAACAAACAACGGGATGGCGTTCCCTATCTTTCGGAAGGTTATCACAAAAAAGCAAATACACCAACAAATCGGTTACCCTCAGAGACGTGTGCTCGACGGTGCAAGATACGCGTTTCTTAACTCTTATATCTATTTAACTAACGCTAGTTTGCAGGTATCGACATTATAAGAGTGATTTAGGATCACAGAACGTTCTGAATCATTCTCCGTTCCTATTGATACTTTGACTTTTTTTTTCGAAACTTACGTTTCTCCAAACTCAGTCAAAGTTGGGGATTCTGTACACCCATTTGTGTCTCCCCAAAACCAAATCCAGTGATGAGTACCTTTCACGTCGAATCATAATCGAATGAAGTGAAAGTGTGGAAAGTCTAGTGTTGCGGATAGTTTTAATTCTTTTTCTTTCTCTCTGTTTTTGAAAACCTATTTTAACAAAACAACCAATCAAGTTTGGTTTGGTTAATAGAAAGGGTCCAATAATGGTATAGTTGGATGGGGTTTGAAAAGAGCTTTCCAACGATATATTATAAGCCCAATTCCGATGAATAATGTGAAGATTAGTAAAGCTCATCATGGACCAAACCATATCTAGTAAGGTCTTATTCCTCATTTCTGACACACCATTCTACTGTGGCGTTCTTGGAGGAGTTAACTGTGAAATTATTCCACAATTAATCAGATGTTCATCAAATTCTTGGGTCAAATATTCACCACTATGATCAGTTCGTAATGTCTTAATTGTTTTCCCAAGTTGGTTTTATTCTTCATTCAGGAATTCTTTGAACTTTTCAAAGGATTCCGACTTGTTCTTCATCAAGTAAATATAACCATATCTACTTAAATCATCAGTAAAAGTAATGAAGTAATTAAATCCACCCCTTGCTTTTGAACTCATTTGTCCACACACATCTGTATGTATGAGTCCCAAAAGGTTATTAGCTCTTTCACCTATACCAGTGAAGGGTGACTTAGTTATTTTCCCAACCAAGCATGACTCACAATTTTCAAATGATTCATAATCAAAAGAAGAAAGGAGTCCATCCTTATGTAATTTCTGGATGCGCTTTTGATTGATGTGACCAAGCCTACAATGTTATAGGTAAGTTGGGTTTGAACCATCTATTATTTGCTTTTTATGATCAATGATGTAGACATGAGTTGTATATTCTAAGACATACAAACCATTAATTAACTTTGCGTTAGCATATAACATATTTTCTTTAGAAATAAAACAAATTTGTCTCTTATTTCAAATGAAAATCCTTCAGAATCTAAAACAAGAACTTAAATAATGTTTTTAGTTATTGTTGGTACATAATAATAGTTATTAAGCACCAAAATAAGTCCAGAGGGAAGTCTCAAGTGATAACTTCCAATAGCAAGTGCAACAACTTTTGCTCCATTTCCTACTCGAAGCGTTACTTACCCTTTTGCTAACTTCTTACTTTCTCTCAAGCCCTGCACGTTATTAACGATGTGAGCACCACAACCGGTATCAAATACCCAAGTGGAAGATGAAGTAAGATTAATTTCTACAACAAAACATCAAGTAACTCTTTACCTTCTGTTTTCACTGGTGTGTAATGGGGACACTCTGGTGTATGGCATGGCTAACTACCGCAAAAGAAGCATTCGCTTCCTCTCCTTTTCAAGAACTCCTCAGCATGGTTAAGTAAAAGGTTGATCAATCTCACCGAAGATCCCTCATCATTATGAGTGAGCTTGACAATGTCAAAACCATTATGGAGTGAGAACAAGATAATATCATGTGCAGAGTCATCATCAATCGGTTTCCCAAGGACATCTATCTGATTGAACATTTCAATCAGTTCACTGACATGGGCCCTTACTGACTGACCAGGAATGATTTTATTTGGCATTATCTTACAATGAACATTCTAAGGCTCATACCTAACGCTGTCAGTCCAGGAGTTGTAAATCTGAGGGGTCGAGTTAACGACCTCTCTTACATTATGATCTTTGAAGCCTCCACTTCCTAATGCCCCAATGCCACCTTGACAAATAGCACGAACCATTTTCAATGCAAGTTGGTTAGCTCATAGTGCCTGAATATTCTTTTCCAACAGATTGGAATAGATTCTAAAATGAGTCTTCTAATTTTCTCTGCATCTGAAACAATTTCAGCATGCCTTTCAACTTTATAACCTTCTGTATACTCGCTCTGAACATGAATATATAAACGAGATTCAAGCCCATGGCTTATGAGAACTTTTCTCAACTCATTTTCCCATTCCCTGAATTTTTTGAGATCCAGCCTTAAGTTAAGTTTCATTGGTAAAATAGTGTTGTCGTATAAGTTATTCATCTACAAACAAAAAACAAACGAGGAAAAATTCAATAATTATGTTTAATAAATTTAAAGTACCATAAGCAATTTTAAAACTGGTAACTTTAAAGCATTCATTCAATGTAATTGATCCCTATTGAATAGAATGATTCCAAGATCCTTTATTTGTGCAATAATCGACCGGACTGAGGCCCTACCACTACTACAAAAGGAGCCTTTTTTCGACGCTATTAACTCGACGCTTAAGCTGGGGTGTCAACAACAAATTAATGGTTCCGCGTATCCACGACGCTTTTTAATGTCTGAAGTATTTCTAGACATGTTTTAGCGTCGAGAAAACAAACATGTGCCCCGCAAGTGTACTCAATTAGGTGAACCCACTCGAAACCACTTAAAATCACAAAACTCCCAACTCGTCATATTCTTAACCCTAACTAATCTGTATATTTTTTTCTTCATTCGATCGAAATCTGCTCAGCGATTCATGGAGTTATGGCCTAGATTTTGAATTCAGATCTTCTTCCTCCTTGCGCTTCTCAAATACTATCACACCAATTTAAATATCTTGCCGAAAATTACTTTCTTTCTCTCAGATCTGATTGTTTGCATTGAAAATTGATATGCGACAGCTATTGCTCTTAATCTCTTCACAGGTTACATTCCTACATCACTCTTTGTTGATTTTAATTCTTTATAGCAATTCTTTCATTTTTTTGTGTGAGTTTAATTGATACTTGCAAGTTGCAATTTCCCAATTTCACTGATTTCAAAACCCTAGGTTATAGATCTCGTTGAATTAATGTTTCTTCTATTAAAACTCTTAAATTCTAATTTTTTTTTTATAAATTTGTAGATTGCAAAGTTTAGATCTTTTATATTACGGTATGAAAAATTCAACATTGAATTTTTTTGTTTATTAGAGTAAAAAATAATAAAGTTAAAAAAAATCAGTTTTAGTACTTTATCTTGGTAAACAAGGTCCGTGGATTTCAAATCGTGAATCTTGCAGATTCTGCAATGTGAGGCATCAACATAAGCCTAAGCAACAATGTCGATCAACAAAGGAATCTTCAGGTACACTTGATTTTTTTTTTTTTTTTAATTAGGGCCACGAGAAGCAAATTAATAGTTGAATAAGTATTTATTGGTGAAATATGTTATGAACTTTAACGTTGAAATCATTGTTTATTGACTAAGTGCATCATAATGAATGGATAGTGGGAGCCTACTGTTGGTTTTTACTTTTTATCTCAAGCCGGATATCTAGTCATTTTTGAATTTAATGTGAATAATCATTTTTCAAATTACACTTATTTGTTGAGAATTCAATCAAATTCACCAGTATTTCATGGTCTAAGGTAAATTTCTTCATATTCCTATCTCTCTGCCAGCTATGTTTTGTATGTGGTGAGGTCCATGTTTCAATATTTTATAAATAAGAGAGAAATCATTTTATTATAGAAACGAGTTAGCAAAAATTCAATTTTGATTAATATTTAAACTCTTCAACTGAATTGGAAGATATGTTACTCTAGTTGTATGCTGAAACAATTTTGGTGTGGGCCTTGAGGCCTTAGAGTGCCTATTGATATGGAATATCATGAATATTGTTCTATGTTGTGACTATTTTGGTTCTGTATTATGATTGACTGGATAATTGAGAAGGATAGATGTATGTCTCGGGCCTCTCGGCACATTTGTGAATTAGGTGATAATAATTATTGTTTTGTATGAAAAGTTTGGTCTTATAGTTTGAGTATTTTATTTCTGCTGCTGCCTGGACTCTGCTCTGACATCTATGTAAGACGGGTTTAAGTGCAACGTGTTCCCTCTATGGTTGCTTTGAAGCTATAATATCATATTTTAAATACCGTTTTCTACTAATCAACTATGGTTTTCTGTCTTTTGTTTTTCCAGGTTTATCTTAAACTTTGTTAATTCTTGTTGCAGGCTTGTCATCTTTAGACTTGAAAGCGTAAAAGGTATTTGTTTTATCCTTCTATATTTGTTCCTTTTAGAAAAACTAACATCAATACTTTGGGTTTCAAATCATACCATTTTATATTGCCCTTAAAAGTTACTGAATTCTAGTAGTATTGGTGTAAAAAACTAGCTACACATTCTTTAGTAGCTGTAAAAACATTTGTTAGACTATTATTGTTAGTTAAATGACTTTTATTTTTTAAAATTTTGTAGCACTCAAGCTCATTTGTCTGCATAATCAACATGGTGCAGCCTCTTAAATTTTTTCTTCAAACCTTCTGTTTTTCCCATTTTAAGATATGCCTTCCCAGTTGATCCCCTTGCCTTTACTAGGCTTTTAGGTTGGTCCTGCTACCTTGTTGTTTGATTTTTATACGGAAATGTGACGTTGAGCATCATCTTTATTAGCGAATTTTGTTTCTGCATAGTTAATGGTTGTTTTTCCTCTTTGGATTGCATGTCTGAGCATTTTGTCACAATCTGAACTTTGTTTTACTCCCCCTGCAAGCAGATGAAGAAACCATAATTGTGGCTTTTAACTAGACCTGTAATGAGGATAGCCAAGAAGAAATAAGGTACTTCACCATCCTCTCTCTTATTCTATGAGGGCTCTGCATATTCATCTAATATTAATATTCATTGCAGAAATCAAACTTGAGAATTTTGATAATATTGGCAACTGATGTCTTGTCTTCTGAGTGTATGGATGCCTTTATACTTTTGGTAAGTTCTTTACTCCATAATTTGTTATGAAAGCTGGTTGTGATTTTGGTTTTCTTAAATTATTAGGTGGAAAATACTTTTCAGAGATGGTATGTATTCTTTGTGTTTTTTGGCAGATGGCTCCCTAGTGTTAGTAATTTTGATCTATTATTGTATTTAGATTCGCTTGTTGATGTATTTATCAATGCATATTGTGAAATGTGTTGTAGGGTCAAAAGAATATGTGACATCCATGTATGAATACTAAGAAACGGTGGAAAAGGGCTGACATCTTACACTGCAATATTTCAAGGATGGACTCATGGAAGAAAGATTTCAATTAGTGATTCGGAATTTGTTCCACTACAACTAGTCACGAATTAATTATAAGTTGGAATTATATTTGTTGTAATAGAAAACTCATTACTACGAAATATGAGTTATTGTACATGTTTCGGGGTTTTCTGATGTCCTGCGGGAGAGTTACAATTCCGAGACTGGAGCCGGACGCCTGTACATGCAAAACAACGGAGACTCCTGGTGGTGGGAGCTCCGGCTCCAACGGTCAAGTTAGTACTTGATTAAGGAGTAATTAATGCGGAAATTAAAGTGATTGGGTCTCTCTAGGTGAGAGTGTTTAATGTGAGTTTTTAGCGTAATCCTCTCTTAACGAGGATTAAGGGAGGTATTTATAACCTTGGGAAACGTGCCCATCCTAGGTTTAGGTTAACCTAGGGCTGATTGGGCTTCCCTCGGAAGTTGGGCCTGGGTGGCCGGTTTCTCCATTAGGCATGGAGTATGCCACGTGGCAGTTCCAACTGGGGGACACTTGGCAGGACCTGATTGGCCCACGTGGCGCATTCCGATTGGTGGGAGCAAAATCCCCTAATCATTTGCCCCTCACAGGTGGCACGTGACTGGTCACGTGTTACCTGTGACAGGTGTCGCACTGTAACAGGCGACGGCCTGCTACAGGTGTCAGTCGGCGAAAGGCCGAGAGATTCTCCCGCCCAAATTTTGAATTCTGGAAGTGAACCTTCGCCTTCTCACTTCGCCTATATAAAGGAGTGTTGACTTCAGTCATTTTCACACTTGAGAACTTTTTGAGAGAACATTCGGACCCCTGAACTTGCTCTGACATTTTGGACCCTTTCTGCCTACCGCCTGCTCTGACAAGCCGACTGCAAAGGATTTTCAGAACTTCATCAATCGTCACTCGTTCAGGTAACTGTCGGTTCTCTTACTCTTAATTTTCTTTTTATTCTTTTTTGAAATGGCACCACGGAAGCACACGACACGACCTAGGTTAGTGATCAGCCGGTCACCGGGGACGGCTGAATCTAGGACTAGGAGTGCCGCCTGCCCTTTTCCGGACCCATCTTTGCCCTTTATACAAAGTCCGACTGTATCTGTGTCTATGCAGAGCATGATGGCCAGAACAAAAAAGACTGCCAGGATCTCAAATTAAGACGGCTCCTTCCTTAGGGTGCCGATTAGTGAAACATCTGACCAGGCGCCAGATGTGGAAGTGAAACAAAGCGGCTTGAAAGCCGGCAGTTATGAGGGAGGAGTCAAAGTGACCCCTTCCCATTTTACAGTTGACAATTCTTCATTTTCTCCGGCTCCTTTTAAAGGAGAGGAGGCGGGCCCCTCCGGGAGAGGGGAGGAGTCGTCCTCTTCGGACTCGTCAGAGGACGATTCCGAGTCTAGCTCTTCTGGCCATGCTTCTCTGGACACAGAAGAGAAAAACAGTCGCCTACAAGAGGCGAGACTTTCTCACGCAGTTGAGAAGGGGGACGATTGGGCGGAGCCATCCGCCTCTTACCGAGAGCAAAATATCCCCTACTACTGCACGGTACCTCTGGGCCGGATCACAGCCATGCAAGAGAAAGTGGAGAGCTTTATCGCAAACCACACAATGGGCCCCAGCTTTTTAGTGTTTGTGCCGGATCCATAAGACACTGTCGTCTGGCCGGCTGGTACCAGTTATGATAGCGCCTGCTTTGGCTGCTACGAGGCGGCCATCAAGGCTGGGCTGCGCTTCCCACTACATCCGGCTGTTCAGCGGATCTTGGATGGGTTTGAATTGGGGCTATGGCAATTAGCCCCGAACTCCTGGGTCAACGTACTCGGCTATGTGGCCGGGTGCGAACTGCACGGGGTGGAGCCGAGCTTCGAGGCTTTCGCCCACATGAACTACCTCAGCCGGACCCCTAAGGCAGGCGGTATCGGCTGGTATCAATTGACGAGCCACAGGGGCTACCTCATGACGAGAGGTAAAGCAAACAAATGGAAGGACTGGCGGAGCACCTTTCTCATCATTGAGAGTTCAAACACAGAGCTGAACAAGCGCTTCAACAGGTGGAACGGGAATCCGCCCCTTCTTGGAGGCGGCCGCAGCATGCCGCCTGTTCCCCCAAGGCTAAGAAAGAGATCCTAGATAAAGGACTCTTCAAAGTAGAGTCGAAGGTGAACTCTACTTCAGGGGTACGAGAGCAAGTACCCCTACACTGCGTCTGCATGTCAATGACCGCCTGCACCTTCTCAGGGTTCGCCTCTATACCTCTCTGATTGATAAGGAATCCGAGAAATTTCCCAGACTCAACTCCAAAGACACATTTCTTGGGATTGAGCATGACATGGTGCCGCCTGAGTGTGGCGAAAGTTTCTCGGAGGTCCGACAGATGATCTTTCTGAAGTTTAGACTTGACAATCATATCATCAATATATGCCTCGACATTTCTCCCAATTTGATCAAAGAACATAGTGTTTATCATTCGCTGGAAAGTGGCCGGGGCATTCTTAAGACCAAACGGTATGACCGTGTAACAGTATAACCCCTGATCAGTGACGAAGGCCGTCTTCTCCTGATCTTTCTTCCATAAAGGAATTTAATGGAAACCAGAGTAGGCGTCCATAAAGCTCATCAAAGCATGGCCGGCTGTTGAGTCGACCAGGTTATCAATTTTAGGCAGAGGGTAACTGTCTTTGGGGCACGCTTTGTTTAAGTCTGTGTAGTCTACACACATTCGCCAGGTGCCATTCGGCTTTTTAACAAGCACCACATTTGCAACCCAGTCTGGGAAGTAACATTGCCGAATGAACCCTGCATCAAGTAATTTTTTAACTTCGGCGGCTGCCGCCTGACTTCTTTCTTCGCCATGGTTTCTCTTCTTCTGCCGTACCGGCTTCTTTTTTGGATCCACGGCCAGTTTATGTACCGCCAGATCAGGACTAATGCCTGGCATTTCATGGATTTCGAATGCAAAGATGTCCTTGTATTCTTTCAATAGTTTGTGAAAGTCGTCACCAAGGTCTCTCAGAGCAGTCGTCCCAACTTTGACTGTTCGCTCAGGACGTGAGTCGTCTAAGATCAAGTCCGTATGCTCACCAGCCGGCTGAGGGCGGAATTCATCCGACCGCTCCTCTGTCAATGATTGCTATTTTTTGTCTTTTCTTGCGGCCCCTGTCTGGGATGCTTTTCTCTTCTTGCCGCCTGCTTCTTGAACATGCGCACTCTCCTTGACATTGTCAAGGTCTGTTTTTCCACCACTTGACCCAGTGGCCATAACAGTGGGCTTGACATCCGAGAGATAGCACTCTCGGGCCATCTTCTGATCTCCCCTTAGGGACCCGACTGTTCCATTATCCCTCTCAAACTTGAGCAACATAAGAGATGGGATTATAACAGCCTTGGAATTATTCAGGGTTGGTCGTCCCAGAATCATGTTGTAGGCCGAGAGTTCTTCTACTACCAGGAACCGGACTACCATGTGTCGTCCTTCTCCTTTTTCGCCCAGGTGGATGGGTAAATCCACTCGTCCTAGTGGGTGGACGACTCCTCCTCCAAACCCTACTAAAGGGTGGGATGCCGGATGTATGCAATTAGTCTGATATTTTAGTTTCGACAGACATTTGCTACTGATGAGATCTGAGGAGCTTCCGGTATCTATGAGGATTCGGACAACTCTCTGGTTGGCCACTTTACATTCAATAACGATAGGGTCGTCATGCGGCCCTCTTACCCCTCCTAGATCTTTTTCAGTGATGACAATCTCAGGAAATGAATATTTGGAGGGCCGTTCTTGGTGAACGGAATTTACATCTAACTGTTTGATGTTGTCTGATGTTTGATGTTTGATGTCGTCATGCGGCCCTCTTACCCCTCCTGAGAAGCCGCCTGCAATGGTGTAGACGACTTCATCATCTGTATCGGAGCTGTCGGCCTGTTGATTCTTTTTGGCCGACTGCTTTTTTGAGGAAGTGTTCCCCGTATATTTCTTGACATAAATGTCAAGATCACCTTGCTCAGCCAGGCGATCCAGATACCGCATGAGACTGGTGCAATCATTGGTGTGATGACCAACATCTTCATGATAAGCACATAATTTTTCTTGGTTCCGGTTGTTTGCAGAACCCTTCATGGGGACCGGCTTCTCAATTGAGATCCGTCCCTTGATTTCCTTTAGGATAAATTAGCTATCCTTGTTAAACGCATACTTTGGGGAGTATGGTTTGAATTCTTTTTTCTTTTTCTGGGCCGGCTGTTTAGAGGAATCAGCCGCCCAGACCTCTTTTCTCTTCTCGTCTTTGTTTGACGACTGTTTCTGTCGTCCTTCTCTTTTGTCGAACCTTTTCCCGTCTGACTGTTTTACCGTACTACAAAAATCAGTCGCCTGTATATAGGCTTCCGCTTCAATCAAGGCCTCTTGAAGAGTCGCCACCCTCTTTCGGACCAAATCAAATTTGAAGGTCGACCCGTCTTTGAGACCTCTGAAAAAGTCAGTATAGGCTACTTCATCCGGTAACCCTTGAATCTGTATTCTCATCAGGTTAAACCGCCTGATGTAAGAACGAAGCCCCTCTTTCTCGCTCTGCTGAATTGTTCCTAAATCAAGGGTCGTCTTCTTCGCAGGGATGTTCATGGCGAAGTTAGAGGTGAATAAATAAGCAAGCGTCTTGAAGCTATTTACACAACCAGTCGGCAGGTTGCCGAACCATTGTTGTGCGATTCCTTTGAGAGTCGCTGGGAAACACTTGCACCAAGTGGGATCATCCAACCCTTGAAGGTACATCAGGTTGGTGAAGGCCATAAGATGGTCTTCTGGGTTAGTAGTGCCGTCATAGGCTGAGCGGCTTCAGTAATTTCCTTGGAGAAGGCCGACGGCTGTTCACCAATTCTAAGCAACCGTAGCTGCCAGTCCATAGGTTGGACATTTTTTGTTGCATGTCCACCAAACGGAGGTGGCTCTAAAAAATACTGTTGTTGCGGCACAAACGGTAAGTTTGGTACCGCCTGGTCGCTATGAAAGCCGGACTGACGGGAGGTGCCGCCTGACTGACTCTCATGATACGACTGAGTATGCCTCATTGAGGTATTTCGCAGACTGTCTTGGAAGTTTGAAGTAGAGGCCGACTCTGACAATCGGTCACTCTTCTTCTGCTCTAGC